AAGTGATTCCTCACTCCTGCTTCACAGCTCATGTGGAACCCTGTTCCTGAGTGAACTCATGATTGGAGATGATGGTGGCATTCAAAGAAATGCTGACAGCATGCCTGCCCACAGTACTGTAGCATGGTTTTCATGTTTGCATCTATTGTTAGGAGTCAGTATTGGATTCCCATTTAATTTGGGTGTAGGGTCCACCATTTTTTAGTTTGCATCTACAACTTACAGGGTAGTTTTGTTATCTTCTCTTCATGTTAACTGCTTTGATTTAATCTTGAAGATAAAGTTAGACAGCAGTGTGTTTAAACAGATAAATAAGGAGTGCCATAATAATAGCATGTCTTAGTGTTCTCACAAACCTATTCGTGCTGGGTCCTAGGATTTTTGTTGTTCCTCTGTAGTATAGTGATATATTTAAGCATACGTCTGTGCTGGCCTCAGCATAAGAGGATTGTGATGCAAAAGCAACAAAGACAGCCACAGTAGATGTAGGAGTGGCAGTAATTTGTCACCAATCAAAGTTCAGTGATGTCAAGAGCTGTATGGTGATACACTAAGCTGAGATCTTGCTGTAATCTAAAATTGGAATCTGGGATGAAGAGTTGCTTCCTATTCATATTTGTGTCTCCTTGTGGCTAGGATTGCTGTTTTTAATTTAGACAGAGGCTGTGGGTGTTTTAATACTTTTATAGCAAGCGGAAATCCCTCAAGTGGACAGTTTTGAATTTTTCTGCTCCTTGCAAAGCTGTATCTGTTGAATTTCCATAGGTATTAAGCTGTTTCAATCATAAGAATGCTGAAAATTAAAAAAAGATAACAAGCCTCAGTTGTGTGGCCTCTTAGGAGGACTTCCCAGAGGCCAAGAATTGTTCAAATCTCCCCCTCCACGGACAAAGAAAGGTGTGCAGCCTTGGAGAAAGAAATCTGAGTTCGGACACCCCAGCTCCTCCAGAAACTTCTGCAGTCCTTCACCACTCTGACTTTAGAGGAAAGAATTCTGGTGACTAGCAGTTTGAAAAACAAATCTTTCCAAACTCTGCATTGTAGCTTTAATGTCAAGGGGGGAGTTGATGAATTAGGAGATGTTCCCGAGATTTCCCAGGAGAGGATTTAAATCAAGAATGGTCAATTTGTGGCTCTCCAGATGTCATTAGAATGCAGCTCCAAGTATTCCTTAGCATTTGTCAAGTTGGTTCAGACTGACAGGAATAACAGTCCAAAAATATATAGGGGACCTCAGGTTGGTCACCATGGCTTAAATTCCACAGAATCCAAGGCCTTTGTGATCACCAAACATGCCTTCAGAATGAGGGAAGAGCTACACCACACCATTGGTGCCAGTGAGGTTAATGTCAGGAAGGTAGGGAAACAGTTGAAGAGGAAGAGAACTTAAACCTGTACTCCTTCCTGTCTTCCACTTGCTAGCCTCTTCTATCAATAGGGCTTTGGATAGTTTGGAGATTCATCAGAACTGAAAGGATAGCTTTGTCCATGTAATCTGTTTTCCCAAAGAAATGTAGGGAAGAAGTAGGCAATAGAAACAGATGACTAAATATCTCACAAAAGTTTCATTCATACATAAATTTATGTATACCTCCATAGATCATCAACATGTCTGTTCCTTAAAGCATAAAAATACTAGGTTTCTGCCCCCAGGAGTTTACAACATAATCCACTAATTCAATCATTAGTAATATTTCACACCCCAAACCAGAAGGTTCCTGTAATTCATACTTTCAGTCAGATCAAATAAGACAAAAAAAATTTCTTCACAAGCTTCAGGGGGGGTACCCTAGAATAGATGTTTTTGATAAGGTAGCCCACAGTTGTCAAATGAAGAAGCAAGTATTAATAATGAGCTGTGACAGTGAACCAGTTAGCTAAGCAACAAAAGATCATTCTACAGCTTTACAAAGCATGACTCATTGTTATGACAGCATCTGAAACTAGATTATGGAACATCAAATAAACCAAAAATACAAAGATGCCATAGGAGCCTCTACAAAGAGAATAAAAAAATACTGCAGAGTGGGGGTGTTAACTGAGAAAAATTTATACCTTGAAGATAATGCATTTTTTAAATTCTCCCTGTATATGCATAATGGTGGCATAAAAATAAGAAAGATATTACATTGAGGATGAACCTTATTTCCTCTGTGTGTGTGTGTGTGTGTGTCTGCCTCTATTCCCCTTGCTCTCAGAAAACTGAACCTTAGGGCTTTATCTAGATATTTATGTCATTGAAGATAAGCTGACTTTGGGTTTATGAGACTTTGGGTTTATGAGAACCAGCCCATGCAGAACCAATAGTGTGGGATAGTGGCTAGAATGATAAGTTGTGGTTTGGGGAATCCAGGCTCCATACGACACTTGTGACTTTGTGATCTTTTATTCTCTCAGTCTGCTCTACCTCACAAGGATTATGTAGGAGTACAATGGAGAGGATGAGAGGCATACATTCCACCTTGACCTCACTTAAGGAAAGGTGGAATGCATTATGTATCAATACTATTAAATATGGTGTCTCAGGAAGGCCAGTGTAGATTTATGGAAGAAGTTGCTTCTGAGCAGATGCTCAGGCTAGAAGTATGTTTTTAGTACCAGAACATGTTTTCCTTTTCAATGCAATGTAAGTGGTCACTCTAGTATGTACACGCATACTGTATACACCAATTGTAAACTCTTTTGTATGGTTTCCAGAAGGACTTTTCAATTATCAGAGCTTTCAAAAGTTTCTTTTTGGAACTATAATTCCCATAATCTGCTGCCAATGTGTGTGCTAAAGAGTTTTGAGAACCATAGTCCAAATAGTAAGATTTCCATGTTCTGTAAAAGGTGTGATTCTATAAGAGATTAAAAATATCTGAGAAAGTATCACCAGTTTCTTCAGTTTTGGATCAGCTTAACAATGGTGAAACACATTTTCACAGCACAAATAAGCAAATAATACTCAATCCTGTTGATACCATAGGGTTCTGAAAAGCTCAGAATATATAAATTACATTGCATCTAATTACAAGTAGAAACTGCCTTGCAGAAAGGCTATTTCATGGTGCAGTGGGTTCCAACAGCACCACAATATGGTGGCTGATGAGAAGACTGCTGCAGGAAGCACCCAAGCCTGAATCTCGAATGCTAGTCATCTTGAATGATGCAGCAGAATCATGGATTGTACAGTTTGGTGCTCTTGTTTAGGCAACAATATATTTCGGGCAAAATGACATATTGGCTGAATTTTGTGTATGTTAGTACATATCCAATGTGACATTTCCATTATATAGTTATTAGAGCTTTGGGGAGAGCAGTTACAAAAGGAATTATTTCAAGTTGCGGGGGGAGCCGGCACAGTGTAGAAATTAACAGTGTGCTAGCTTTGGATTGATGACATTTATCTTCATGTGATGTTGTCAAGCATCATAGATGAGTGAAGATCAATATTATAGAGTGGAAGCCTTTGTATACTTAGATGCTTTTGGTTGCTGTCTTTGTTTGTTTGAAATAAAAAGGTCAGGGAGGGAATGTAGTGCTAAATATAAAGGGGAAAAGACAGAACACTAGTCTCTTATGACTCTGCAATTATTGTGGGTGGTGACAAAACAGCTAATGATATCTGTATTTGATCATTCCTTGGAAAGAAGATAAGTGAGTTTTATAATCCTCTATTTTTTTCTCCATCTGTCCTTACAAGTTCAAATGAATTATCTGATCCCCTGAAAAGAAATATTAGATCAATATGATTAAAGCAATTTCTTTATAGACATTATTGATTGACTAAGGGCAATTCTTGCTAATTTTGAGCGGAATGGAATTTATTTCTTCACATGATGAAACAGAAAAGGCTTATCAGTTTTACAGAAACATTATCATTAAACATTCTGTATGCTTTAAAATGACTTTGGTGTGCACATGAAAAGGCATTCATTTCATCCAAAGTTCTTTTGGCAAGCAGATTCATAACAAATATGAAAAAGTCTGTATTTAGTGTATTTTGTTTGCGACAGTGGCCCAGCATTTTCAGGTTGTACAAAGTATTGTCAAACAACTTGAAGGCTTTGACTGCCCTCTTCCAATTTTGTGACACTTATTTTCTCCAAAAAGGTATCTTAAAAACATGCAAATATGAAAATACATTGTAAACATGGAGGGAAGAAGCATAGAGAAGGTACCAGTTTCAATCTTTAGCATTCCCTCCAAGACAAAGCTTTGAAAAACCATGGACTGAGACTCTAGAGCACCTCTGTCAATCAGTGTCAATAATACTGACTGGCCAAGGGCAGCCTTATACATTCTCTTTCATTGCAATCAAATTAGTACCCTTCAGTAAAACTCTTCCATCAAGTGCACTTGCATGGATGGCATGGCAACACTTGGAGGCTAGTGCTATTAAAGCACTAAAAAAAGAGAGACGCATTTGCAAGTATATGTGTATTTGGTTTTATTTTAAATATAGCAAAAGTTCAAAAGGTCCAACTGTTGGGGATTGGCGTATCAACAAAGAGATTTTGAGGACAGAGAACAAAAACAGATATCACAGGAAAGTATGTGGGGAGCTTTCCATTTTGCAGGGGGAGTAGAATCTGCAGGAATTTATCCATGCTACTGTAATTTGTCCATGGTGCTGATCAGTCTCCATACTACTTACCTAAATCATAAGGTATAACAAAATGTGAAACGATGTTAAATCAGTGATGCAGACTGTCTATTCAAATGAGCACACCCACATAACATCATTCATTAATTCACTCATATATTCACCCATCTAGAATGTAACTGTCTTTGTAGATGAATGAACCATGAATTAGAGAATGTTCAGACTTGCCACTCACAGTGTGTTCCTAAAATAGAGCTCTCAGGCTTTTCAGTAAGTACTATAACATTTGTGTATCAGCCATAAATAAGAGTATTAACAAAGTTATCATCTTTTATTGTAGGAATTTAAATTGCTGTGTCATTTTATTATATCCTAAATTGTGTGTGTGTGTTTTAATTCCTCCCCAATTCAGGAATGGAGGAACTTATCTAAAAAGGATCCAACCTGACTTCTTCCCTGAATACGTTCTTCTAAAGACTTTGGCTTTGCTGCTGCCTCCTTGTCAGGATGGCTGAAAAAGCTCCTCCAGGAATAAACAAGAAGTCTTCAAGGTCCACTCAGTCCCTTCCTCCAGAACCAGTGGAGATAATCAGGAGCAAAGCATGTTCGAGGAGAGTCAAAATCAATGTAGGTGGACTCAACCATGAAGTTTTATGGAGGACTTTAGATAGACTTCCACGGACACGACTAGGGAAGCTCAGAGACTGCAATACCAATGAATCTTTACTAGAAGTATGTGATGACTATAATCTCAATGAGAATGAATATTTCTTTGATAGACACCCAGGTGCTTTCACCTCCATTTTGAATTTCTACAGGACAGGGAAGCTACACATGATGGAGGAAATGTGTGCTCTTTCTTTTGGCCAAGAGCTTGATTACTGGGGGATTGATGAAATATATTTAGAATCTTGTTGCCAGGCAAGATACCATCAGAAGAAAGAGCAAATGAATGAAGAACTAAGGAGAGAGGCAGAGACACTGAGAGAAAGAGAAGGGGAAGAATTCGACAATGCCTGCTGCCCAGACAAAAGGAAAAAACTCTGGGACTTGCTGGAGAAACCCAGCTCATCAGTGGCTGCAAAGGTAGGATCAGTGACAAGGTTAAGCACTAGAACCATTGTGAAAACAGGTTTATGTTATGTTATAATGTATTGATAAGCTTTATTGGAAATGTCATGATGTGTATTACCAGTCACATGGCTTTTATCTTGTGAGTTTTTCTTTCTTTTTCTTTGCTAATCTGGTGGAGAAAAGCATTTATTTGCCTCTAAATACTACAGGTGTTTTCAGGTGAGGCATTTACTGTGCAATTGTACTTTCATTTGCAGAAATTGACATGTGGTCCACCTGATATCAACAAATGTCTTCCGTTTTCAGATCTTCTGTGTTTCCCCATGGTTTCTTCAAGAGCTTGGAAACACAGTGGAAGAGACATAGGGTTAAAAAAATTGGAAGTTGTAGTTTAAAAAAAAGGAATGTCTTTGGAATTAATCCATCTTTTTTCTTAACAGATAAAACATTTTAATTGTGAGTAGTATCCTTTGCCTACAAGAATCTTATGTGGGAAGTCTTATGTTTTCTTTGTGGCTTCTTCCTCTTATTTTCTTCCTCTTTTTCTACTGTCTCGTGGACTTTGGGGGATTTCCTTCATAGCAATGTGAAAAACTGTGATCAGATAAAGAAAGACAGGGAACGTCTTGTTTTTGTGAGTCTTGGACAGGCTCAGCTAAGTACAGTCTGCAGGCTATTGGCAGGCCCAAGTAGTCCAGATGTTACTGGGAGTTGCAGTACTGTACTAACCTGCCTCCATGGGCAGGCAAGTTCAGTAAGAGGGTCCTCTTATAAAGCTCCATGAGCTCTGAGAATTGGCAGATGTCGCCTTCATTGCATGGGGACCTTTTCCTCATTGTGAGTCCCTGCTGGCTTAGTGGCCCTAAGGGACAGCTTACAAGTCAACATCTAAAACGACTTCTGGGATATATATCAGTTTCAGGACATTTCACCCCATGGTATGTTTGGATATATAAAGATAGCTTAAGAATTGTTGCATTGTTTTGAAACAACCTGTACAATGTCATTAGAATTAGTCTAGGGTTTTACTGAAGTTGATAATGGAATCATATGGTTCTTTAGGTATTTGTTGTACTGCAACTCCCATAATCAATCTCTGATGACTGTGTTGGCTAGATCTGATGGGTATTGCAGTCCAACTTTTTGTGCAACCCTTCATTCCTTGACTCAAATATAAGCCCATATTGTGGTTCAATATATTTCTTAAAGCCTTTTTTCAAAAACCCATTTGATAGACACATACTTAAGAAAGTACCCCATAAACTAGAATATATATTGACTTCTACTGAAAGCACTTTTGAATTAGATGTTTGAACTCAGAGACTGTCCTTTCAAATACATAGTTCATTATCTTCATTCATCCGGCACCTAGGTTATTACATCGAGGCAACAGGTGCAAGAGTTTATCTTTCTACTACATGATTCTGCTCGTGTTTGCTTTATTTGTTCAAACAGAATTGAAACTGCAGCCCTTGGCTGTCCAGAATCCCTACAGAAGTATGTTGCTAACTAACAGTGAGCCCCAGATCCCAAAGACCAATATGGAAGAGATGGGGCATGTCTTTGAGCTGATATACAAAATCCAGATAGAGCAAGGTTTAGATCAAAAGCTTTCACAGTATGGGCAGATCACTGATCCAAAAGCAGATGGTGTCAGGTTTGTAGAGTACAGCTGGCCTGTCTTTCGTCTCTTTGCGAAACAATTGCTTGGAATAAAATATTCTTGTAATTTTTACAGAGCCCAATACTATTGTTTTTTGAAAATGTATAGACCATTGTCCATACAAAGCTGGCTTTGATACTTGGGATCTATCTATGCTACACATCTGTCTCAGTTTTATATAAAAATTCTCATGTTTCCTGGAATGGGTTATATGAATTACAGCAAAGGTGCTAAGAATGGTCTGTTGCAGATTTTTATTGCTCCTTGCAGAGCCATGTATTCTCAGGGTCTCCTGTGAAGGAGGTCTAATTCTACAGTATCTTATAGTGGTTTGCAGATAAGATCAAGATCCTTACTGCCTGGAAAGGCACAGTAAGAAGACATCAGCATCCTTGCTATCAAGCTTGCTTTTAGCTGTGACAAAGAAGGAAGGCAGAGGGGTGCCTTTTCTAAGGACATGCTTGCATGCTGTTCAACATATCCAGAGAGAACATATAAAAATATTTTCTCTGGAATTGCATCAAAGTGGCTGATTGGTTTCTAGAATTAAGTAGATTCCAAAAACTGAAGTAGAGATAACTAATATGGCAGGTTACACATCTTAAGTAAACTCATGTTTCTGCAGCCTTCCCAAACCCTCTAGATGTGTTTGACTACAAGCTCCATCACCCTAAAACCATGAGCAAAGGTCTGTTGGCTTTGAATGATGAGGCGGGTGTAATCTAACACAATTGAAGAATACCAGGTTAGAGATGGCCGTGCTAAGGAAGGGATAATACAGAAACATCTTCTTTAAAAGTACTATTGGTTTGTTTGCACACTTTTGGCCCTGTAAACTGTGTTGGACAGCCCATTCTTGGGTAAATGATTCTTGGGTAAATGATTCTTAGCATCATTTACCACTGACTATGCTAGATAGGGGATATGATAGTTACCGTTCAACAGTGTTTGGAGGACCACACATTCTTCATACCTGAATTAGCTAACTGCATGCTATCAAGTCAGTTCTGACTTATAGTGACTCTTTCCAGGGTTTTCTAGGTAGATAATACAGAGAAGTAGTTTATCATTCCCTCCTTCCTGGGGCAGCCTGGAACTGTGTAGTCTTGCCCAAGACTACACAGACTGGCTTTTGACCCAGAAGGCATAGTGAGGAATTGAACTCCCAACCTCTGATTGCAGCCAGATACTTAAACCATCTAGCTCTCCAGCCAGTGGTTTCCTGAAACAGGTCTCCTGATATACTACATATGGAAAAGTAAGGCTATAGATGGTCATTGACTGTGCCAGAGTAACTAGAAACATGCACTGTATTCACTGAAGCATGACTGTATGTCTGGCAAACAAGATAGAGACTTGTCACAGATTTTCATCTCCTTTAATACTACATTTAACACATACAGTGGTACTATATTGTATTCCATAGTTCATATGATCCCAAAGGTCAAACGTGAAAGGGTACTGTCTAACATGCACTGCACTCATAATTACAATTTGGTTTTTTTCCACCATGAAGATAAATCCTGTCACTGAGTGTTACCATTAGGATTCTCACATAAGAACTAGTGAACTGCTGCCTCAGAAACAGCTTGGAAATTTACATTTAAAAAGTAATTAGTTATTGCTTCAAGTTCTCAAAAGATGGATAGTTAATAGTTGCAAGATTGTTCAGTAACTCTTGGCCGCCTCATTATTAAAATGTAACTCAAATAGTTATTTCTAATTACTTTCTAGAACTATTAGAATGTACGAAACAAACCATATTGAGGACACACACACACACACACTTATAACAGTAATGAGAAGGGTTACAGTTAAATCTCTAAAGCAGTCAAGTTAACCCTGATTATGCTACAATCAAAACTGAAGACTATAAAAATCTGCCTTACACTGAGTCAGACAGTTGATCCAGTATGATCAACTCTTCCTGGCAGCAGTACTCCAAAGATTCAGACAAGAGTTTTTTGTGGCCCTATCTGACAGCCTTGATGGTCTCTACAAGCACTTAATGAATCTTAAACCTGCCTAGCTTTGGCAGTCAGACAAGATCAGTGTGTCCAGGGTAATTTAAATCATTATTTGTAAATGACTTCCCTTAACATATTTGTAATGGTTTAATGGTAATGGCAAGCTCTGATCTGGAAATTGCTGTAATTAACCCAAGGATTATACATAATTACCCAAATTTCAGATGTTTAACAACTTCAAAACTTTTTTCATTGTGATAGCCGCCTAGAGTGGTCCGGTGGGCCAGATAGGCGGGGTATAAATTAAATAAATAATAATGATAATAATAATAATACTGTACCTGACAAATAAATCTCTCAGTAGTAAGGTTTATTTTTCTCCATTTGCCATGCTATAGGCATATATTTTGCTAATAATCTAGAGTGAAAACTACAATGTATAACTTTCAAGTCCACCTGTGTATGTTGAAATTCCTACTAAAATCATCTCTTGACTTTTCTACACATGCAAATGAACCATATTTCTTCCTTTAACATATGTTTCTGTTGGAGTATCTGGAGACATTCTTTTAAGAATTCCTTTTGTCTTTCATTTAGAGCATCTGTTTTACAAATGTCCATTTATAATCTACATTTAAAGCATCATTGCCTGGGAATATCATCATAATACAGTATATCAGTAGCTGACTAAATAGCTCAGTGAGATAGGTATTTAGTTGCAGAGCCAGAAGGTTGAGTTTGTTTCCACACTCTGTTTTCCAAGAAAAGAGCCAGCCTGTGCAAGCTGCACAGCCCCAGAGTGACCCCAGAAGAAAGGAATGATAAACCAACTTTGGATTGTTGTTGTGGGTTTTTCGCGCTCTTTGGCCATTGCCATAAGTCTGAATTGACTTGATGGTGACTGCTGAGTAGTAGTCGTAGTCGTAGTAGTGTATCAGTTGCTCATCAGTTAAAGAAACTGCAATTCTTTTTACCCTTCATTCAAGATATGGGGACACAATCACCAAATGCCATTTGCAGAGCAAAGCTATATTGTAAATAACTTCAGCAAACTCAGTCTAGAATCTCTGTATATCAAGGTGGATCAAATAACAAGGTGGATCAAATAACAATTGTTTTGTCTGTGTGTGTGTTCTTGATCCAATACATTTATGATCCAACTAGTGAGAAACTGAGGAATTATTTGCACACATAGTGTGGCTGGAGCCAAGCTGGTAACAAAATGCCCAGGGAGCTTCGGCAATACCATCATCTTTTCCCTTCTACCAGTCATCCACTTCTATGAATTTAATGATCCACAGATCTCTTGACATTGTATGTAGATTCTGTGGCTAATTTCTACAAAAAGTTCTCAGGGCCCAAGCCTGTCTATTTCTAATGAA